ATAATTGATATATATTATAATTTTATTTAATATTTAATAAATTTATTTACCACCTAATTTTGGAAATAATTAGACAAATTTGTTAGTTTTGAAAAGTAATTCTTATATGTAGGTTTTGTGTACTGTTCCCTTTTAATAATGTGATTGTTACCGTTATAGATATTTTCTTTTATGGTTTGTGACATTTTGATATATTCTTAATTTTATGTTTTTGTCAGTGTGAAAACGCAATTTTCTATTATTTATTTATTTGTGTTTACCTTAAAAATTTGAGTATCCTTACTGTCAACATATCTCCTGTCATATTCATGTCTACATTTATGTTTTCTGCACCCAAGGACACAAAATCGTTGCCACCAAGATTACCAGACCAAGAAAAAGAATTAGCGACTGTTAATACTCCGACGATCAAGTCAACTTTCGATACAAGAAATACAAGGAGTTGGATGTGGGAGAGACATATAAGTAGATATTAATGTAGGGAATGTTCGCTTTATGTTTTAGTTTTTCGTTTTGAAACCATTTTGAGTTTTGTGTTTTGAGTGTCCATTTTGAAATTTTTGAAAATGTGTTCTTTTTATCATTTCAAAAAATTATTTTCAGAAACCCAAAATTGGAAAATGTGTTATCTTTCTTCTTTCTTTCCGTCTCTCTCTCTCTCTTCTTCCTCTCCTCACGAGGCTTCCGGTGCCGAAGATCGGCCTCTTCTGTAGTTGGGTGTGGCGGCGTTGGTTGGATGCGGTGGTGGTTTTTTTTATGCGGTGGTTGGTTGTGGCGGTGATGTGTGGTGGTTTTGAGTCCGTGGTTGGTCCGTAGGTGGTTGGTTGTGGCTGTGGCGATGGTGTGACGGTGGTGTGGTGGCGGCGGCTGTGGCGGTGGTTTTTCTTCTACTGTTGTGGCAGTGGCAATGGCGGTGGCGGTGGCGGTGGAGGTGGGTTGCGACGTCACTGACTGTGGTTTTGGCGGTGCGGCAGTTTTGGTGTGGTGCAGGCGGCGATGGTGGTGGTTTTTGTTGGCTGCGTAAATGAAAACACTCAAAATACGTTTTGAAAATTTTGGCTTGATTTTAACTTAAAACACCCAAAACGACATTTTTAACGTTTTCGATTTTCTTTATAAATTTTAAACTCGTTTTCAAAAATTCATTTTTGAAAATAGGTAAGTAAACGTGTCTTCACTGTTTTGGAAAATTGAAAATAGAAAACGAGATGAAAACGACAAAGAGAACATCTCTGTAGTGTTTAGAGAATGCTTACCCTCATTCCATTTGTGAAGTCGGTCCAAATAGATATGGAGCTTGTTTGAGCCCCATTTTTTTTTTGAATGCATTTTGAAATAATAAATTGATGAAAAATATGTGATTGAAAAATTTTAAAAAATGGGTTTGCGTGTAATATTAATATGTGGTTGAAAAAAAAGAGAGAGAAATATATATTTTGAAAGTAATGATGATCAAAAAAGGGCATGGTAAACTTTGCTCCGATGAGGTTTTTTTCCTTACATGATTGAATTCATAAGGTTTTACTTGATCCCAAGAATCTTATGATGATTTTTTGGAGTTGATAATGTAATTTCCTTGTACAGTTGTTCCTTCCTAAACATATTTGTTCTACCTCTCGACTCATGCATGCCTTCGTTTGATGCACCCCTAGGGACCTCATCCAAACATCCGGCAGAAGGGTGCGTGGTGATTTTTGAACAAGCGATGGAGCAAGGGCTCTGACTACCTCTAAACCACATCTCTCGATCTATTCTTAATTACTTCAATTTGGGCCCCACCCAAGTTACTCTGAACAGATGGGTGCAAATGGGGTCAGCTTATCTGCTATGGCGTACCGCGGGACTCGAAGTGGAGATGCCCACCGAACTGTATGAGTCAATATATTGTCCTTGTCGAGCAAGCAAATTCGACATTTGGTACAAGTCTCCTACAGGGACAATGTTGGAAGATCTTCATCAAATCTCCTAGCTGTTAATGTGGAATTTTAGAGTGTGTTTGGTAGGGATTTTTGGAGGAATAATTGATTTTTGAATAGTGATATGATGGGAAATGTGTGGTTGAAAAAGAAGAAAAAATTATTGATGTGATGGAAAATATTATTTTATTGAAAAATGTGTCGTTGAAAATGAGAATTGATTTG